CCGCCGGGCTGGGCGCGCGAGGAGACGGGCAGCGCCCTCGCGCGGCTCGGCGGAGAAACGGTTCCGAGGGCTCCACCCCCCGCCCCCTCTCTCGGGGGCGGGGCCAGCCAGCATCCTTCCCGCTCCCGCCCTCTGGGAATCCCGGCCTCGCCTCCTGGGACCCCCTTCTCTGCACTTGGAATTGGGAAGCTTCTTGGGCTTTTTCCTCAACATTTCAATGCACTCCAAGAACAGGCGCTAGATAGTGATTGAGTTCATGTCTACTCTTAGCACTAATTTAGCTGCGAGGCTCCAAAATCTCGGACCCTTTCTTGTCTGCATCAGAAAGATAAAATAATTGTAAAAAAAGGATTTGTTTATATTTATGTCTCTGTCCCCTGTGTACAGGGCCTAAGGGAGATCAGAAGAGAGTGTTGGATCTCCTGGAGCTGGAGTTGGGTGGCGTTGCCTAAAATGGGTGCTAACCCCGGGCATCTGCAAGAGTAGAAAACCTTTTAACCTTTTTTTTCTTTCTTTCTTTTTTGATTTTTCTACATAGAGTTTCTCTGTGGGTAGCTTTGGCTGTCCTGGAACTCGCTCTGTAGACCACCAGGCTCGGACTCAGAGATCCTCCTGCCTCTGCCCCCGGAGTGCTGGGATTTAAAAGTGTATTCTGCCGCCGCCGGGCTTTCCTTAACCCCTTAGCTAAATTCTCCAACCCATAAAATGATTTTTAAGAATTATCTGTGGCCATTCCAGCTCGACATTCTTTGCTGTAACTATGAGACTTTGGCTGTGATTTCTTTATATAGCAGAGGCTAGCCACTGAGACCTTGTGAAGCGGCGCTAAATGACCGTGCATCCTCTGCCTGAAGTGTGTTCAGCAGCTGCTGAACTCACGTGGTAAACAGCATCCTGTATCAAGAGGCAGGGGTTCCTGAGTCGGTTTTGCCCCTGTCTCAGCATGGGGCAAATCCCCAAACTGCCTCAAGCTGCAGCTTTGTCGTCCGTTGGAATAAATGAGCACAGTCTTTGTCAGTTGTGGAGAGTAAATGAATGTTTATTTAATGTTGCGAAGGGGTGGCCCGTGTCATGGCGCACGTTTGGAAGTCAGAGAACAACTTTGCGGAGTGGGTTCTCTCTAGCTCTAGCTGGAGCCTGGGCATTGTACTCAAGTTGCAAGCCTTGGAGGCACCTTTTCCCCCTGGACCATCTCTGCAGGCCTTGATTTTTTTTTTTCCCCAGAGCTGAGGACCAAACCCAGGGCCTTGCTCTTGCTAGGCAAGCGCTCTACCACGGAGCTAAATCCCCAACTCTTTTTAAAAATGTGTAGCCCAGGCTGGCCTCAAACTCGAGATCCTCCTGCCTCTGCCTCCTTCAGCAAATCCTATCAGCGTGGGCCACCACAACCGGCATTTATTATGTACAGTGTTCTGTCTGCATATACACCTGCAGGTCAGAAGAGGGCACCAGATCTCATTACAGATGGTTGTGAGCCACCATGTGGTTGCTGGGAATTGAACTCTGCTGGGAATTGAACTCAGGACCTCTGGAAGAGCAGCCAGTGCTCTTAACCTCTGAGCCATCTCTCCAGCCCGATATATTTTATTTTATTATTATTATTTTCTAAAGACAAGGTTGCTTGTATTCCAGGTTAGCTACTTGCTCTATAACTGAGAATGACCTTGAACTAATCCTCCTGTCTCCACCTCCCGGATTCTGGGATTACAGGCATATGCTACCACACCTGGCTCAAAGCTGAAATACAGTAAACAGTGTATGCTGAGTAGTTCAGTAATTTATTATTTTTCTTATTTCTTTTTTTTTTTTTTTTTATTTTTTATTTTACAATACCATTCAGTTCTACATATCAGCCATGGGTTCCCCTATTCTCCCCCCTCCCACGCCCTCCC